GAAAGAATTCCAAAAAGCTTTCAGACACCTCTGCCAAATAATATTCAACTGTTTATTGAACATTAATGAGTATTATGCAGTCGGTAACGCCCGATTGCCACGTTCTAATTCGCTTGTAGTCAGCTCATATTGTTGCAACGTATTGTTCTTAGACTCTGTAGCTCATTTAGCTGTAAGCCTGTACATCTAAAATCTAGACTTTTATTCCTTATACTATCTTATTCTACAATATTTCAAGTTCATCAGATCCCCCTGCGCTCCGGAAGATGTAATCTTTGCAACCTTCGCCTGTTGTTGTTGGTGTTCAGATTAGATGTGTTGACGGTCTATACGAGCTGTCTAGATGTGTTGTAATAATACTCTTAATAGTATTTGTATTATTATAAATATCTTTATAACACAATTCCAATCTCAAATTCTTAATCATTTTCAGTGAAGATCAAGGAGCTTAGGCTCAGTTCATAACGGAACTATATGACTTCAATGTTAAATAAGTGCTCAAGGCAAGAAGCATTATTTGGGAGTATGATTCATTGTTCCTGGTGAGATGGCACTAGTCGGTTAGACCGACAGTCAGATACCCTGTTAGCAAGCCAGTCAAAGACCCAGCTTCCTGCAGCTTGTTTTCTGCTGTGTTCGCTCATTTCAAGATATTGCTTAATGCTCATTCATGGTAGATTTATCGTAGCACAATTTAATTAGATGCAATTTTTTATATTGAAGTTGGACTATATATACTTTATATATATTATATATGTATATGTAGATGAGTGCTTTATGTTATTGTATTTTGTAACCTCAGTCCGCAAATAACAGGTCACGACTAGTTTGAGGCACTCGCAAGTCGAGCGACTAGCAAATAAGTAGTTAATAAGTATGTATGATGTAAACACGGGGCAGCTCACATGTGGCTCTATTATTAGTACTATATTATTGTGGCAGCGGGTATGCGAAACTATGGCTGCACTACACTGTGCGACTGTAAAGACACATAAGAGCCTCTAAGTTATTTATTTATTTGCATTGCGAATAGCCCGGCGACTGGCCACAACATCCATCACACCTTTGCCACCTCGATCGATACGATGATCGCCGGTGCCGGGCTTATGTCAGCTGTGCAATCACATCGAATTTCAGGCAGAGTCAACCTCTCTAGCGCTGCCACTGCCCCCCACTGTCATTGCCCCTAGATAGCCTACACTAGTCTGCGTCTCAATTTGTTTACCCAGAAGTTTGGATTGCATTCATATTAAGGTCGCGAAACGTACCTGGTACGTATACTAAACTTGTTTTCATGCGCTCAACTAACTTTGTATACATTGTGCCCAATGGATATGCCACCAAATACCCTATAAATACCAGCGAAGACGAAATGAATACAAATCACTTTTGAAGTCTGGCACATTCCAGCGCAAAGACTCTGAAGTGTATCAAACAATCATAATGCGAGTTCACCCACCTCAATCCAATGATATTAATGACCTTATTTCATATACTCCATCTCCTCTATATTACAGCACAATTTATGTTGTCAAAGGGTGCTGTGGAGACTCTAGACTATAATAGGTGCACCTAATAGATGTTCATTATCCTATCATTAGAGAAAATTAAAAAATATCAGGCAGCACATGTTTCACGTAAAATATGTAAATTTTTAATTAAGTATAGACTGCGAAGATATCAGACGTCACGTAAGCGAAATTTATTGATATTTACAATATAGGCGAAAATCTAAGTGCATATAGATTCTATTATTTGTTGGGGCTTAGGCTTAATAGCCTCAACTATTTACTCAACTCATTTTTATCGTTGCGAAACAGAGGCACCGACCCACACACTCGCCAGGCCATATATCTATAAGTATATGACAGAGCTATTGCTGCATCAAATAATCTATCCAAGGTATATAAATGAAATATATGGAAGGAAGTGCTACTATGCCTACTGCGGACAGTTAACGGTTTCTGCTTTGTTGATTATGAAATACATTTTACCTAAGCCTTTAGAAACTTGCTCAGCTTTTCCAGCATTTGAGCTTTAGCTAATAACTTTTGAATATATAATTTGCACCAAATATATTAATTTTCGATTTATATATATTAATATACATATTATTGTTTATTTAAATTGAATGAAACTTGCAAGAGGACTCTAGCCAAGTTGCAGGGTATGTTCTAGTCTATCAGTCACGATTTTTTAGCAATGACTGTATGTAGTGGATTAACTGACGTAATAGGGAACAGAAGTGACAAATTAGTGTTTAGATTAAGGTGACTGCAGTCAACAACTTTCCTCAGACTGGTTTCATTCGTTGATCGACAGTTCTTATTTATAGAAATGTGTACATAATTATGATGTTTTGATCAGGGAATGAATAACTAGTCTAAGGAAAGGAGTTTACAGCAGCTTGTTCTAATCATTAATTTGCCAATACTGTTCTCCAGATATCCCATATATAAATACCATTATGAAAACAAAAATTTAATTGATCATGAAAAAAATAAAAATTAAAAACTAAATGAAAGGAAAAACAAGTAAGAAGACTCTAGTCGAGACTGCTCGACTAGGAGATACCCTGAACCCTCCAATCTGATATTCTAATCACTCTGCACTTCTTTTCGGCACACATACATACACACGCACGTATTAGAACGCGCTCTTCTAACCGCGCAGTAGTATTTTTGTGTCGTGTATCAAATACAACAAAAATCGAAATTATATAAAATACATATAAGTCTACATTAAAAATTTGGAAGCTCTAGCTCTAAAGGTATAGGAGATATAATTAATTAACTAGATTTCGATAAGGGTTTTAATCGATAATCAAATATCGGGGGTAGTTATCGATATATAGAGAAAATGCGCGTGATATACACGTACCTAGGAAACAAAATTTCAAGTCTCTAACTCTTATATCTTCTGAGATCGACGCGTGCATACATTCGGATGGACGAACGGACGGACGGACGGGTTCAGGGTATAATAAAATAGTGACTTTTGTTTTTCAATTCTCTTTTATAGCATTCCCAAGCAAATCATGGGCAACATTTCGTTTAACGAAAAAGGTACAGTTTCATTTAGATTAAGATTTGTAGACTACAACACTACTATTTTTATCAACGGCATCATACATATATTATAGATATATTATATTTTTACGTATACATGCACATACATACAAATGTACTTAAAATGTTTAGCCCTTTTCTAGCTGTTATTCATATTCATCGGCCTTAAGTTTTTTTTTTTTATACCCTGAACCCATTTTCAATGGGAAATCAGGGTATAATGGTTTTGTTGAAATGTATGTAACAGGGAGAAGGAGGCGTGGCAGACCCCACAAAGTATATATATTCTTGATCAGGGTGACGAGCTGAGTTGATTTGGCCCTGTCCGTCTGTCTGTCCGTCTGTCCGTCTGTCCGTCTGTCCGTATGTATGAACGCGTCGATTTCAGAAGATATAAGAGCTAGAGACTTCAAATTTTTTTTAAAATGTCCGTAATTACAGCGCGCATATCAAGTTTATCATTAAAAATCGATAACTCATCTCGATCTTTTTTTATCGATAAAAAACCTTATCGAAACCCAGTTATAAAATTATATCTTCTACACCTTTATTGCTAGAGTCTCCAAATTTTTAATGTATGCTTATATGCAATTTATACAATTTCGGTTTTTGTTAAAATTTACCCCCCACCTCTAAATTCACCCCCTCACCCTCACTTTTGTAAAAAGCGTATTTCAAACACTAGAGACTTGTGCTTTGGCAATTACATGCATATTCATGTTATAATCATAATCTAAAAGTTTCATGAAGATCGTACGTCCATAAAAAAAGTTATTAAACAATTAAGTTCTCATAGTAAGCGCACACTGCAGCCCATGCGTGTTTATGCGTGGTTGCTTGTATGTGTATGTGTGTGTGTATGTGTGTGTGTGTATGCGTTTGTGTCTGTATGCGTGTGTGTGTGTATGTGTGTCTGTATGCGTGTGTGTGTATGTATACCTGTGTGTGCGTACGTGCGTGTGTGTGTGTGTGTGTGCGTGTTTTTTTGTAAGCTGAAAGTCGCGAAAAAGTATTGAAATATCTATTGCTCCAAGGGTTCAGGGGATCTCGTAGTCGAGCAGTCTCGACTAGAGCTTTCTTACTTGTTTTCGATTATTATCGATTGTCACACGTCCCCAAAGTGTATTGTTTAGTTTTAAAGCAAATATTTTATCTAGTTTATATTTGCTTATTCCATTTTAAGTTTTACAGTTTCTCGCTGTCAACCAAATAGATATACATATGTAGTACAGTCATTTGGTCAAGGCTAAAAAGAGACAACTCATTTTTCCCCATTTTTTGCTCGACTTTATTTATTTAAAATTTAAGCATTATCAGTGTCAGCAATTTTTTCATAGTCTTAAATTCTGATGTTAAGCGACTGTTAAGTCCAGCAAATAAATGAATCAAGGAATTACGTTGGGATCTATATAAATAAATAATTTATATTGCCCAAGATAAAATTTGTAGGTATCTTGAGTGATTCACTGAACATCCTAGATCTTTTACTGTACTGAGATCAGAATTCATCCGTTCAGGTTCATCTGTTGTAAACTGGCCTTTTGCTGGATCTTAGCGACCTCGGGACAATGGCCATGACCATGGCAGTGCCAGCTAGCGCTACCACGTGGATATGGCCAAGATAATGGGCGAGGGAATCCGTACAATAGAATCAGTACAGGCTGCCAGAATAATATAGATGTCATAAATTCTCCGGGTGTTTGGGGGGCATCACGCGCCAACGACTTGTGGAATGGGAACGGAACAGAGATAGACGCTGCGAATGAGTTCAGTTTGCTGAAATGGTGCTGGCTCTGAGCCGTGGGCAAATAGCAACGGGGATTACGGGAGCAGAGCGTTCCATTTCGTTTCACTGGGATTACGAATATGTACGACGGCCGCTTATCGCGTCCGCGGATGAGAACTTTGGCTGCAAATTACGCGGCATTTTTGTCGTACCTGAACATGAAATCTTGTTTATTTGCATATAATTTAGATAGAAGTATAATACGGCCCCATTAAATCAGTGCAAACATCAAATAAGCTGCCAACGGGGAAGCCAGCGAGCAAAATGGTGCATATCCACGGGCTATATATAGAGCTGATGTCCCATCTAAAAGAACTATATGTGTACTATTTGCACAAGTGGTTGCCCTAATCGTCGCTAACGGTGCAGTGGAGCGCCACACAAGTCGTCAGATTGCCAACACTCAAGTGCATCACAACCTTGACATTGCCCAAGACGTTCCAGCGGGGCATGTTCTCCAGATGCATTCGATTGCTTATATTCTGAAAGGTATAAACATGCTGGAAGACAAAGGAGAAACGGAAACAGAAACTCCATTTATATACATATGTAGTGTATTGCTGGGCGATAGGCTAATGTGGTCTATTATAAGGAGGACATATTCAAAATATAATTTTTTTTAATGTACAGAATAGATATATACATACACGTGATATCATGCAAACTGTAAGAATCTTAAATCTCTCTCTGTATGTATTTATATACGTAGTTTATAATAGTCTTGGATGTCGAAGACTCCACTTGCTTAGTACCTAAGCTAGTTAGTCTTCATTTTATATTAATTCGAATGTCTAATCAATAAATAAATTAATTATATTCTTGGGTGTGTTCATATATTCATATATTGTATGTATATCCATTTGTTTAACTGCCTTTTTTTCTATCTATGTATGGATCTGTCTAGGAAATACGAATTCTATTGATCGCTCGTTTTTACTATATACAAATTATAACTATATATGTTATGTAGTGAAATATTTATAATAATTACATTTTTCTATATATTAAAAAGAGATTATTACAAATAATATGTAAAAGAAAATTTTCTTCCTTTTTAGAAAATGTTCCCCCAACCTATCTCTAAATTCCGTTACTAATCGGAATACATATGTATTAGCTGATCTATAGATATAACTCGTCTGAGTTAGCATAATCAGTAGAATCCGATTATAACGATTCTGGTCCCCACTTATACGGCTATTGCGTCTTCCGGGTATAAAGAGGGTCCCTTGAGCGTCGTTATGAACGGACTCTACTGTATAGCGTTTTCCCCCACCCGATTCCTACGGATCAAAGACACTTCTAGCTCTAATTCCATTCCCTTGCTTAACCCCCATAAAATGTTTAATTGCATAAATAGATAATTTACTCACTCCCTTTTTCGGTGGGCATATGCGCTGGCTTCTGGGTATATTTGTTATGATGAAGATGTGCCAGAGCTCGAACGGATCGAACAGGGATTTGCAGAAGTCGTCGCGTTTGATGGAAATAAACGTGTGCACCCAGCGGCCGCGCTCCTGACGCCTGATGTCCGCCTCCAGCCTGATGCGGCCGGGTGGGAGCTGGACTTTGACAACGACCTCGCCGGTAATGTAGGATGTGTCGTCGACCATGACACTCGTCAGGTTGTTTTCAAGCAAATCACTCAGGGCCACATTGCCTCTGTCCTCGTTGGGGTCGCAGGACTCCTGGAAGATGTTCTCATCGAGGAAGACATCGTAGGTGGCCAGCTGCCAATCAAATTCAGATTCAAAGCCGAAGCTACAATGGAACTCTCTCTCTAAGAGAGACTCACTCACCTCAGCTCGCAGCGGCAGCAGAGCGAGCAGCAGACAGACAGTGCGGCGCAGCTGCAGCATTGTGGACGTCGTGCGGCTGCAGCAGATGCCGCTCATTTATAGCCCATTTAGAAGCCGGCGACTAATTGGCCGGCAATTGAATTAGAATGCAACTGCGGCTATCGCACCGTCTATCGGCCTAATTGCCAGAGCCAGAGACAGAGCCAGAGCCATTAGCATTTAATTGCCACTGATTTTGATGGCGATTTTGATTTCGATTTTGATGGCAATTTTAATTTTAATTCCAATTCCAATTCCGATTCCGATCCGAATCGCACTCAACATTTTATGGTCGTCTCGCTTGGCACCCAAATAGATGTCCCGCGCTCGGCATGCCGCCGGCGTAGGCGCTAGCGAGGCCGTCCTGTACGGAAGTTGGCCCCATGCAAATGCAAAACACAAAAATGCTTGTGTATAAATTTATATACTATATATATATATAGAGAGAGAGAGAGGGAGAGATAGAGACTATGTCACGCATATCTCGAGCAAGTGGGTCGATCGATCCGTTTGCACTGATCACGCGCCTGCCGTGTGCGCCTGTGGGACTTGACCTCGACGACCAGCGGCGTGAGGGCGCATTGTGGGCCATGGCCCATTGCAAACAATGTGCGCAGCGCTTTATTTTTGGCCAAATGCAAATAATGTGTGCCACACGCCTAGCTCAGCCAACCGACCCACCCGATAGCGCCTAAGCGCGTGGCGCCGTCTGCTCTTTTCCTTTGCGCATAGTCATAGTCCATGTTTTTAATAGTTCGTATTTGCTCTTCTCTGCTAATTAGACATTTACGACAAGCGCATCATTTATCTCGAAAGATCCTCTATCACACTCGTCCGACTGTCAACAGTCATAAATCCCAAATTGTTTACTCAGCTATGGCTCATACCAATTGCCAACTCTTGGAATACCCAACAAGACAAACAACTAGCGCAAGACCCAAATTTGAGTTTTCCAGAAATTTGCTTAGCTAAGTTTTATAATGTGTCATATTATCTTAAGGCGATTAGAAAGCAAGTAGGAGTACTCCCGTCGGGAGTATTCGACTGGCAGTTACCCTCTGAGAGTGGACTTTTAAGAGGACAAAATTCTATTGGCGATGCTGAATCTGAAAAACTTTTTATCGAGTTCATAACTCGATTAATAATACAAATAGTACTCAGCATTATAAAAGAGCTTCTCTAAGATCTCAAAAGTGTTGTTTAGCTTTCTTGACTAGTTAATTTTTAATTTAATTTGTTAGCTACACTGAAGTACCAATGGGATCACACAGATCATGGATGTGGCCTCATATTTACATTGGGAGCTTTTGGGTTATTTTAGTTACGTTCAAAAAGTCAAATAACAATTTTTATGAATAATAATGAAATGTCCTGAAAAAATATAAATTCTAAAACGTATATACATATATTTGACTGCGACCTCTCACTATTTATGATATTTAAAATTAAAAACAGAGTCAGTAGGTTATTGTGTTGCTCTACGCTTTGTCGTTGATGCTTAGGATATTCTGTATCTGTTTAATTTGTCGGGATTGGCTCCTGCTGTTGTCATAGTATTAGAGAGAGTCTGACTAGCTCGCATTATCCCAGTGAGTTTGCGTTTTAGATCTACGCATCTCTATTCTGTTTTTCTCTATTCTCACTGCGAGAGAGAGAGAGAGCCATCTGAGAACGTAGTCCCGAAAGAGTGAAGACTTTCGTATAGGTCACGATGATTGCCATAAACGAAGAGACTAGGTATAGGGAGTCTGACAGAAGTTGTCTGGGTAGTCACTTGGTCCAGGAGTGTATGCCAAATCATAGAGCACATTGTTTAAGAGAGAGCAAACCGAGAATTCGTTATTGGGCACAGTTTAAAAGTACTAAATTAGAATGATATGCAATCAGTCAGGTAACTCTTGGATATATAAATATATTTATATACATATATACCATATGGAGCCTGACATGACTCCGCCTGTTAGATACATTTCTCGCAAAATCTTTATACAGTCAAATGCAATTTTCAAGAGTTTCAGATAATATTAAATCCGTCTTTCAGGCTTTTGTGTACCCTAATTAATTTAGAGTATTCCATTGTCAACATCTCACAAAAAACTTCTCTACTGACTGCGCCTTGTTCTCTACTACTTTTTCATTTCAAGTAGGGTAAGCAACTAATTCATTTCTTGTTCACTTAATTAAATAATTCAATCATGCAATGTATTTAATAAATTTATATTTTATTTTCTTATAATATCGTATTGCATTGGCAATGAAACAATTGTTGTGCATCATATGATTATTTTTTTCGAACTTTCAATATGGTTACAGTGCGTACAATCAGAATGTTGTTCGACAGTCATATAAATAAAGTCATATAAATATATATATTTATAATTGGTAAGTATGTCATATAAGTATTCAGGAAAGGCGATAAGAACAGAGATAAGCTAAGCGGAATGCTAGTTGATCTTCAGTTGAAAGAGCTTTCCCTTTAGAGAACTAGCTACATTGAAGACAAATGGCATGGGCTTTAAGTGATTGCTGTAAGATTTCGAATTGAATGTATCGTGATTTTGGCAGATTACTCATAAGTACACAGATCTGATTAGGAGGTTAAGTTGAGAGCAGGCTATCTCTGGATAGTAGTAATTAAAAGAAGAATGGCTATTCGAAGTATTTAAGAGTTTTGGTGTAATGTATGCACGCATTAAACCATCTAAGTTTAGTCTAGGCTAGGTCCATTTTATTCTTCGCATTGCACAAATGACAAATATCTCTTGACAAGTTCTTAGTACATTTGCTATCACGATCGTGTGAGAAAATCGAATTTGAGTAGAAATACGAAATACGTTTACATACAATATATGTACATACATAGCACATGTATGTATGTATACAAGTATCTATGCATGTAGCTAAAATAAATTCCAAGTATCTACAAAATAACGCGCTTACGAGCTAAGCGATATTGCAAGCTATACTTAAACTATAAAAAAAAAAAAAATTTTGTGTAATAAAAATATATATCAGCCATGCTTGCAAATTCCATTTCAAATGAGCTCTACAAACATGTATACGTATTGCATACTTTTCGGACTGTCTAATAGTTAAAGCGCCAGCGATATTGGCGGCCAAGAGTATGCCATACAAAATAGTTGACGCACGAATGAGAAAGTGGAAAATTGCAGTCATGATTGGCTATCATTTAAATGCTGAAGCAGGCAGATTGGGTTGGCAATCAAGCGAATGCTTGGCTGTTCAGCTTTCACTTGATGATAATCTCTGCGGGTGGCAATATATTGTCGCCGTATAGACAGTACCAAATGCTCGAATACCAGATGGTGCGATCGACCCACTCGCTGCCCGCCAACACGTGTCCAATGTACGGTGCATCGCGTGAACTGCCAAAGAGTGAGAGAGAGAGGGGGAGATCAGTAGATTGGCAGACAAATGGATAAGCTCCGTTATTTACCGCATAATTTGCGCTTGAGTGCGCTCCACGAATGTGATGGCCCAGCTCCAGGGAAAGTCGCGCTTGCGCTCGCATCCCAAGTACGCCGTGGAGCTGTGCAGAAAGATCTCGCGGACAATGCTCGTCTTGTCGTTCTTGTCCTTCTTGGAGACAACAATTTTGCCGTCGCGCAGCTCGCACTGCAGCGGCTTGAAGGACTTGGTGCGGTAGTCAGCGAAGCGCAGCTCCTTGCCAGGCGTCACCGTTGCCAAATTCTTGATAGCGCGCTGCACCTCGCGCAGCATCTCGATGGGCCGCACCACCAGATAGTTGTGCTTGCGATCCTCCTCCGGCCAGTAGGACCAGTTCAGGATGACATCGAACACCTTGGTGTCATGGTGCAGCGGCCGTTCCAGGCTGTCGTTCAATATGACCTCGTACAGCGTCAGCTGATGCGTGGGCAGGCCCATCTTGGCCGAGTATTCGCGGCACAGCTCATAGGCGGTCTTTGTGGGCGAAATTGTGGCATTTACCTGAGTTTTCTCCTGCAAACGAATATATGGACTTGGTAAGGTCTTGGATTTGGATGCTAAATATATGCTCACCTCTGTGGTATTGTCCGGGTTGGGATTGAGACTTATCCAGATCTTGATGTCGCCCGACTGCTTTACAGCATCCTTTAGTGTCTCGGCGGCAGCATAGTATTTTTGCAGGCACATTAACATCGCTTGCTCTTTTTTCTAAAAGGGAGAAACATCGAAGAATGCGGAATTTAGAAACAGAATTAAATATAGTATTAAGTTATGCGATCAATATTAATTGGCAATCAGTCTTAGGATTATCTTTGGAGAATATAAGGGAATTCGATAACTATCATAATATCTACTGACTGATTGATGACTGAATAAGGAGGATGAGGATTTAAATTCCGTATAAAGAACATACAACCAGCTCAAAATTCTTAACTATTCATACAGATAGGAAAGTTGTGATATTTTAAAATTAATTAGAGAATATAAGAGATTTCGATTTGCAATATAACTATTATGATATCGCCTGACCACTGAGATATCGATAGCAATTGACTATTGCAGATGCTTCTCAAGAATATCTCGCAGCTTTGCAGAGCTCGGAAAAAACATTTTGGATGAGAATTTAAATTCCGTCTATACAACATACTACTAGTTCAAAATTTTTAATTATTCATACAGATAGAGAGATATGAGATTTTAAAATTATATATATAATATAAGGTAATTCGATTTACAATATCACTATATCTACTGACAGATCGATAACTGGATGAGGTTTTAAATGAGAATGAGGATTTAAATTCTGTATGATTCATACAGATCGAACTACAGGCAAGATTTCATTCTAGTCCAGAGGTGTATCTCAAAGAGAATTCAATCTAGGGATATTGAACAATCGACCAGCAACGATTAGAGCTCTCTTAATCATTGTCGTTGTGGTTTATATACTCAAATATATATCCATTAATGTGAAGGTTAGTCACAAGTACAATATGTGGTCATATTCAGAATACAAAATTAATCACAATTTAAAAGCACCGAGTGTTGCTTTGATTATTACCATTTCTTCCGCACCGCAGGGAAATAGATTCTTGTAGAGAAGA